GTTATGGTGACACCCCCCCCCCCAACCATAAAATTATTTCATAACAGTTATTTTGCTACATTTATGAACTGGGTGACCCCTGTGCAAGGGTTGTTCCACCCCCAAAGGGGTTGGGACCCACAGGTTGAGAACCGCTGTTTTATAGGACCTTGATGAGTAGAAATCGCCTTAATAGCAGTGGGTTTTTCTCTTTGGTGTGTGTTAGGACATTCGTTGTTTACAAATAGCCTTTTAGAAAAATCTCAAACTACTCAAGTCCTGTGAGATAGATGTATAGTTCAAGTGGTTAAGCACTCAGCTGCTAACCAAAAGGTCAATGGTTCTTACCCACCAGCCACTCCTCAGGAGAAAGATGTACCAATCAGCTTCCATAAAGATTCACAGTCTTGGAAACCATAGGAGGCATTTCTACTTTGCCCTAAAGGTCACCATGAGCAGCAATGTTGTTTTTTGGTTCCTCCCGTTTACTTTATACATATTTTAATATAATGTCATTTAAAGTTCACAGGGAAGTAGGTTTCCCACTCAACAATGTATGCACGTTTTGTGTCATGATATGTAATCTCCACTGTGCAACACCAGCTCCGCCCTTTGTTTATATTTGTCCTTCTCCCCTATTCCTTCCTGCCTTTTGCACTTTGTCCTTGGGCTAAAGCTAGTCTTTTCATTTAGTGTAGCAGATTAGCAATGGTCTTTTTTTATACTGTAGGATTTACACATTAGAGCTTTCCAGACTACCTTTATATAATAAATTAAGTCATTTTTTAAAAAAGACCTAACCAATGAGATTCTGAAATGTCCCCTCCTTCTGCCCCTAGCATAACATTAATTAACATCCCACGGAGAGTTTGAGGAAAACTGCTCTCTACAACAGTTTAGGAAACTATAGTACATTTGGAAACGGATCTATATACTCCGGAAGTACTCCTGTCAAATTAGTGTGGCTCACATCTATTTTAAATCTACATTCCAAAACAAAACAAAACTCAACTCTTGCCATTGAGTTGATGCCGACCCATGGCAACCTTACAGGACAGATCTGCTCCTGTGAGGTTCCAAGACTGTACATGCTTATGGGAGTAGCAAGCCCTGTCCTTCTCCCTTGAACCTACATAATCATCAAAAATTTTCCATGAATCATGAGAAGAAAGTATTGCACAAATGGTACAAATACCATCCCAGGCACATAGGTACCAGGTGTGCTCATTCATGTCCTGGTTTGGCTTGGTTTTAGGTTGGAATAGAAACAATTCTTTGGCATTTTTAAAAGAAGGTTGTGTTACTTTAGACTGAAATTTAAAATGTAAAACTATTCCATTCATTCTTGGATACCAAAATAACAATATTCCTTACTTTCCCAAATCTTCATCGAGGAGTTCCGTTTAATAAACTCTCGGGTAACTTCCCAATGATTTTATTTTAAAAGAGGTATTTCTAAAATTCTTCCAGTTTAAGTATGGGAGTGTGTTAGTCTGGGTTAGTCTAGTTAGTAGAGGAACAAATTCATGGACATTAACGTGTGTGTAAGAAAGAGCTTTATATAAAAGAGCAATTGAATATTGAGAAAACAGCCCAGTCCAGATCAAGTCCATAAGTCTGATATTAGCCCATATGTCCGCTACCAGTCTGTAAATTCCTCTTCAGACTCGATGCAACACATGCATTGATCCCGAGTGCGGGAAGATCACAGGCCAGTGGGTGGGAAAGTTTTGTGGATCTAGTGGTGGTGGAAGCATCTCAGTGCTGGCATGGGTCCTCCAGCTCCAGGGCTCTAGCTCCATCAGGCTTGTCAACAGGAATGTCTCAGAGGGAGAGTGTGTGTCCCACCTCCAGGGAGGAAGACAGGTGTTCCCAGAATCCTCAGGAGAGGCCATACCCACACAGAGGCTTCATTGGCTGTGGCCTGATTGAGAGGCTAGACTCCATCTCTTCACAGGTCGACAGATTACGTAACCGCCAGAGGCAGATTTAACTATAAAACACTATACACTACAACCTTTAAAATAGATACAGAAAAACCAAGTAATCAACAGGTCATCAACAGGTAGCTGCCAGATTTTCAAATCGGAGGAAGATGTACAGGGAATATTTTTGCTTGGATGTCAGCTGAATCTCAGATGAAACCATAGAATACCAAACCCAAAAGATATTTACCTGTGTTTTATTGACTACGCAAAGGTTGTGGATCATAACAAACTTGTATGAATAACATTATGAAGAATGAGAATTCCAAAACAATTATTTGTGCACATGCAGAACTTGTACATAGACCAAGGGATAGTTGTTTGAACAGGACAAAAGGTTACAACGTGGTTTAATGTCAGGAAAGAGAGTTATCACCCATATTCCGTCTGCATGCGGAAAAATAATCCATGAAGCTGGATTATGTGAAAAAGCGCTGCTTCAGTATTGGAGGAAGAATCATTAACAATGAGATTATCAGCGCCTATAAAGATTCAGGCCTTAGAAATCATATATAGACTGTAATCACCTAGATAGCAGTTGAGTTTGGCTTTGGGGGTGAAATATAGGTGACAACTTTTTTTTTGCTGAAGTAAAGAGAACTTGAAGCACTTACAGGTGAAGATTAAAAGCTAAAGCCTTCAGTATGGATTATCCCTTAGCATTAAAAAAAAAAAATTCCTCATCATGGTAAATAGGGAAAATATTGAAGTAGTCAAGAATCCCCTGCTACTTGGAGCTTCAATTAACTCCCATGAAAGCAGCAGTCAAGAAAACAGACAGTGCATTGCATTGGGGCAAATGCTGCAAAAGACCTCTTTAATTGTTGAAAAGCCAGTGTGTCTCTGCGAGTTCTAAGGTGCACCCGGACCAAACCAAGCTATGTTCAGTCCCCTTGAAATGTATACGAAGACTGGGCAATGAATAAAGATGACCGAAAGGAATTGATGCCTTTGGACGATGACGTTGGTGAAGAATATTTTCTCTATCATGGAATTGCAGAAGGATAAACAAATTAGTCTTGGAAGAAGTACAGTCAGAATGATCCCTAATATGGCAAGACTTCTTCTCAGGCACTTTATGGACTGATATCAGGAGGCTCTAGACAGGGACGTCATGCTTTGCATAATGGAGGTTTAGCAAAAAGGAGAAGCACCTCACAAAGATGGAGTGACAGTGGCTTCAGCAATGAAGTCAATCACTGCAACAATTGTGAGGATACACAAGAATGGGCAGTATTTCGTTCACTTGTACATCAGGTGGCTATAAGTTGCAAACAACTTGTGGGATACTAACAATGAGAACGGCAGTAAATGGAAAATAGTGCAAATTCCTAGAGTCAGTACCTCTTAGCCCCTAGCCCTGATTCAAGGCTTCTTGTGCACAGTGGTTGATAGCTGTCCCTTTCTATCACAGTCATGGAACCTCAACACAGAGAACCTGCCGAAGATGGCCTTCCAGCTACCCCAGATTGACAGCTCTAAGAGAACCTCCCACCCGCAAGTCGAATTCCCATCAAGTGCTTTCTTACCAAATTAGTCACATTGGAGTGAGAATACAAATGAGGTTCATTATGTATTCATGACCTTTTACATACTAATGAAATCAGCCGTGTTGTTGGTGTTACTGTGTGCTGCCGAGACAGTTCCACCTCAGAGACCGCCCCACAAACAACAGATACCTGTTGGCACTGTACGTAAAATCCACCTCCTTGATGTGCTCCTTTCCACTAGATGGGAGAAAGGACCTCTTCTCTCTGAACTGGAGTAAACACTGCACCAGAGGCTCGCCAAATAGATTTCTGGTCAGTCTTTGAGCAAGGAGAGTAGTTTGGCTGGGGATCGGGTTCTCATATATTCTCTTATGAGACTATAACGCCAGATTAATATTTTCCATTTGTGTGTCTATTTTGCCTCAGAAAACTCAGAACACAAACAAAATGTTGGGGGCTTGTGTGTGAGAGTGAGTGAATGTGTTATTTGGCAGAGAGATTTATTTATACCCCCACCACCCAGGTGGGAGAATCTTGGATGTATTTTCATACTACACAAACATACCTGTTCTCGGCAAATCTACTTTCTTACAAATATTTGATAGTTTGTTTCTCTCCCAAACTCTTAGCTGTAAAATAGCCTCTCATTGTGGTTTTTGTTGATGCTTTCCTGTGATGTGTGACCGTATGTGTTGTATCTTCTATGAAATGCAGTTTCAAGCCTTGAAGCTATTTTTCTGTTGAGTTCATCAGTTCCTCCTTACATAATAGTATTCTTGTCATCTCTCAGTTTTATGTTTTGCCAATACTTTGTTGATATTTACATTTTACTCATTTAATGTCTTTCCGTGCGTCCTGGTTTTCTTTGTCTTTAAAGATTTTATATTTACATAAGGGTTGTTTCCTTCCTTTATAGTCTCATTTGGGGATGAAGGGGTGTCCTTGACCTTGAACAGTGAGGCTGTGAGGACAGCAACTTTTACCTGCCTCTTCATCAATAACAGAGCAGTGATAGGCGCTCAGTAAGCGTTTGAAAAGCAAAAGAATGGAAGGGGAGGAAAGAAGAAGAAAGAACAAACGCAGAAAGCTTTCAATGTACACGTAGATTTTTAGTCTGCAATTGAGAAACTTTATCCTTCTCTCTCTCACTAAAACAATCAATCAATCAAGCAAACTTAGGTAATGACCATGCAGTGTTAGCATTTAATGATACAATGTAAAATGCACAGTGTGTGATAGTGTTTGCTTATTTTTTGTGGGAGAGAGAGTGGGGGTGTCAGGTAATCCCTTCAGACACTTGCCCTCTAATACATACACTTTAAAATCACAGCCTAACTTTCCAGAACTCTTAAAAAGTCACGAACGTTTTTTTTGCCTTCCTGCTTAAACCTCTGAATAGTTATTCAGTATCCCAGAAAGACTTGCTTATGCACACCATTATTTAGAACAGGTGTAAAAAGTATTCCATTCACTATAAAAATACGAAGACTTAATTATCATTGATTTGGTACGGTTAATCATTAGCTACTTATCTTTAAAATTGTAGAAAAATATGCCGCAACTGCAAGTGTGGCCAAGAAGAACACGATGTCCTCCTGAGCAATGAAGAGGATCGGAAAGTGGGGAGACTTTTTGAAGACACCAAGTACACCACCTTGATCGCAAAGCTAAAATCGGATGGCATCCCTATGTATAAACGCAATGTTATGATCCTGACCAATCCCGTTGCTGCCAAGAAGAATGTCTCCATCAACACAGTCACCTACGAATGGGCGCCTCCTGTCCAGAACCAAGCGCTGGTAAGTGAACCGAGGATGGCCGCGTTTTAAAGGTAGGACAGTTCTGTTAAGGACCTAACCAGACTCACCCCCCTCCCCAAGGTTGTTTATTTGGGGTTTCTATTATTTTGACTTCTATGACAGCCTTTTGAGAGTATGCATCTACAGCTTATATGGACAATCTGCCTCTTCAAGGGCTTCGATTGGCATTCTCAATAATAATGGAGAACGAATGTTTTGCATAAATCTAGCAAATCTTCACAGTCACTTTTGAGAAAGTTTCTTAGTAAGATGGTAAAGCATGTCTAAAGAATATAATTTCCTCCATTATCTAAAATGGAAAAATAAAGTTTAGCACTATGTTTGTTGTACTTTGTAGGACGAAAAGAACAGTTCCTTGGTCAGCCCTCCCACAGCTTTAACAATGGAGCCAGGCCTCCTGAGATCCCGTAGGCAGCTAGTTAGACCATTAAAGTGGATCTTGAGATGTCAAATCAATTAGTGTATGTTTTTAAGATGCTGAAAATGTGACTGAGTTGCAAAGCCATTCTGAACATTTCTGCCTAGAAAAACATGTCTTGTCTTGCAATTACATATTTGCATATTTAGGGTAAATACATAAGCGTAACCCTATATATGATGCATTGTTTTGAACTGTGTCATGTTTGAATGTGCTGACATTTAAAGATGTTTATATTATGAGGAGTAATTGTCACTAACAGGGGAAAAAAACCGCCTTCGTTATAAGTAACATGGTACTGATGTGTGTTTTAAAAAACAAACAAACAAACCCTTGTGCTATCTGCTGTCCAATGGGTCTACTGTGGTCCAGGCCAGGCAGTACATGCAGATGCTGCCTAAGGAGAAGCAGCCCGTGGCCGGCTCCGAAGGGGCGCAGTACCGGAAGAAGCAGCTGGCAAAGCAGCTCCCTGCTCACGATCAGGACCCTTCCAAGTGCCATGAGTTGACTCCCAAAGAGGTGAAGGAGATGGAGCAGTTTGTGAAGAAATATAAGAACGAGGCTCTCGGGGTGGGAGATGTCAAACTTCCCCAAGAGATGGACGCCCAAGGCCCCGACCGGTCCTATATCCCTGGCGGCGATAGAAGCACTACGACGTCGGTCGGGGCCACTGAGGACAAGTCTACGGAACACAAGCACGCGCAGTATGTAAGTGAGGGGCACGTACATCACTGCCCCGCATGCGTATTGTGCCGGCGCTCTCCCTCCCTGTGATCCTTTTCTAGGGGGAGGGGTACATTCCTTTGTTTCCAAAGGGAATTAAGATAAATAATCAGTTTAATCTCCTTTTGAGAGACTTATCACATATAGACTTGTGTCTAAGGCCAAGGTTTCTGATGATCTATTGCCAAGGACAATTGAAAACTTTATGTATACAAAGTAATTAACATTTGACATCCTACAGGAATACTACATTCTATTGAGGAATGTTTGCTAAACATAGTTTTAATTATTTATCTCGTCTCATAAATTATAAGAATAAGATATGCTCAAATTCATTGTTTTGTCTGGGTGACTTATACCTAAAATTCAGCCTTAAATGAACATGGCTATATACTACATATTTTTTTCCTCCAAGCTTCTATTAAAGAGACAGAATTTAAGTGTCTCCTGTGGCTTGGAGATGGAAGACAGTGGTGACACATGTGAACACAAGGAAAACACCACGCTTACGCGCATGTATTTCTCATGTATTCGTTCGCCCGTCAATCAGTGAGGTTCTGACCTGTACAGTCAGTACTTATACGCTCTAGGTGATGGTTTTTGATAGCTCACATATAACTACAGTGAGGATTGCTGTTCACCCTTTTCCAGAAGTGACTGTAATTCAGGAAGCAGCTCTGAGTTCTTGCACCTAGTTAAGTTGTAGCAGCCTGGAGATGGCCAAGAGATTTTATTTTACAGACAGCTAAGCAGTGGTTTGTCTTCATGGATTAACTACTAATTGCAGTAGGAATGAATTCTCCTTCAAGATGCTTCTCTGAATTCCTGATTCAGCCGACAGTTCAAAATGCCAGTTGTCTGTGGACCTGACTTTGGATGCTTTCCCTTTCAGTCCTGCTATTGCTGCAAGCTGAGTATGCAGAAGGGTGACCCGGCCGTCTACGCTGAGAGGGCTGGCTACGACAAACTGTGGCACCCTGCTTGCTTTGTGTGCAGCACCTGCGGTGAACTCCTGGTCGACATGATCTATTTTTGGAAGAATGGGAAGCTGTACTGTGGCAGGCACTACTGTGACAGTGAGAAACCCCGATGTGCTGGCTGTGATGAGGTGTGTTCTCTGAGGCTACCCACATGCAGGCTCCTCTCTGCCACCACAGGGGCCCCTTGCAATTGACAGCAGGCCACCCGTAGAAGGCAAAACGAATTGGCCAAAACATCGGTTGCTTTATTTACATCCAAAGAGGTTTCATGAAAGGAACTTTTAATTTCATTCATTCTGAGTATCAGTGTTAATTATATGAACTGAACAGAGATGGTCCACACCCACAGAAGATAGGTTTGCACTAAGCTGAACGATTACCCAAGTTAGAACTGCAGGTTATCATTTTTAGATTTCAGATCCCAAGACAGTGTGTTGATAGACTTAGGGGTTTAAATCCTTTCCTGCCTAGAGAACTTTGCTTTGTCATCTAGACCCTAACAAGAAATCAGTAATTCATCTTACGTTTATTCTCTTCCTAGCTCATATTCAACAATGAATATACCCAGGCCGAAAACCAGAACTGGCACCTGAAACACTTTTGCTGCTTTGACTGTGACTGCGTTCTAGCTGGGGAGGTATATGTGATGGTCAATGACAAGCCCGTGTGCAAGCCCTGCTATGTGAAGAATCATGCTGTGGTGAGAAACCGTGACCCCCTGCAGCCTCATGACCCGAGCTTATACCTCTATCTAAACTTCTTACAGGGGGAACCAATCATAATGATCTACCCATAAACCCCTCCCAGGGGGACGGACAACAGAAAAGTGGGTGATGGGAGACATTGGTCATTGTAAGACATGAAAAAGTAATAATTTATAAATTATCAAGGGTTCATGAGGGAGGGGGGGAAATGAGCTGATGCCAAGGGCTCAAGTAGAAAGAAAATGTTTTGAGAATAATGATGGCAACAAATGTACTCGACCCCATGAATGGGTATATGGATTGTGATAAGAGCTGTACAAGCCCCCAGTAAAATGTTTAAAAAATAAATTATCCTACCAAAAAGCAATCCTTTTCACTATCCTCAAGCTGGTGCTGACTCGTCTAGACCCTATAGGACAGAGGAGAACTCCTTACGGTTTCTGAGGCTGTGAATCTTTGAGGGATCAGGGTGCCTCACCTTTCTCTTTATGACTGGCTGGTGGTATGAACTTCAGGCCTTTGACACACTACTCCACTGAAACTCCCCGATTCATGCCAAGAGGGTGTTAAAAGTCCAGTTAATTCAACTACAGTACATGCATTGGCTCTGGAAGCTTTCTATCCATGTAGATGATACTGTGGGTTATTCATGCTGCTTGATAATAAAATCCCCCTAAAAGAAAAAGTCCTCTCTGAGGGGAGGGGCTGGCCCTAGTCTCTATTCCTGGGTTCCCTGGCCACCATGTGGCCTGCGTCTTCCCTGGCTCAGACTGCTCTTTGACATCTCAAAAGAAACTGAGACACACCTCAAAAATCTATACCCAATTTAAGGCTGAATTTACAACATACATGTGCAGGCTTCAAAATGTTCATAGGCAAATTCCATTATCAATTCAATTTTTAATGCATTTGTAGTATTGGGGGAAATATTAATCCATAACAGTGATCATGCAAACAAAATATCACCTTTGTTTTTCAGGGAAGACTGGGTGGATATAATGTGTGGATTAAGCACCTGTTATCACTATCATTAGAAGTAATATGGCATTAGAAAACATGAAAGGCCTATATTTTAGGCCCAAAGTGGCTATTTGTAACAAGGCTTACTCCTCTACTGTTTAAACTCGCTTTCCTACATTTTGAGATTTTTTTTTCTAGTAAGGAGTCTTGAGTTAAATGGTTCCAGCCCACCCATTTTACATCCTTCATCTCTCTAATTCCTAGCCATCACAATAAGGGACTGACGGTTAGTCACTGAGAAAATGACATGGAGGCCACATTTGACCTCTGCCTAGACAAGGAAAGAGGAGGAGAATCTATTTCTACACAGACCCAAGACCAATTGCCATCTGGCCAAGTCAGACGGGCCTCCACCCTCCACCTTCTTTACCCTGTGCTGACACCAACCGGTCTGCCTATGGTACTCGGCTTCCCTGAGCAGTTCCATTGTAGGGGCCACACAGCTCAGGTAACACAATGATGGGGATCTGTTAGAGAGGTTAACAGGTTACTTACTACAAGTCAGGATCAGTAAACACTAAGGATACAGTCATTTATCGATAGCAACACCTTTCCTCAGCCAACAGTCAGTATTTCTCCAGTCTCAGCTCTCAGCTACGTGGTCCCTTAGCCTCTCCCTCCCAAGACACTATACTTTTATGCAGGATTTAATAATCTGTTGTAATGGACACACAGAAATGATAGATAATACTCATGATTATGGGGGCTTATTAGGGCAGCTAGCAGGTTATAAAATGTTATGGATACAGTTATTTGTCTACAGTGCTCTTTTCAGCTATGCTGGCAGCTCATTTAACTTCTTGTGATATCAGTGATATTGTTCTATAATTTGAGCATGCTGTTGGGATGGGAACATTTCTTTGGAATGGGTACTGTGGTTCTCTTCCTGTCAGTTGACCAAGTTCCTGCCTTCCAAATTTCTTGACATAGACCAGTTTCCAGAGAGCTCCATCAGCTTGGTAAAACTTATCCATTGGTAGTCCATCTATTCCTAGCAGCTTATATTTGGCTAATCCTTTCATTGAAGCTTCAACTTCTTCCTTCAGCCTCACTGGTTCTTGCTCATCTGCCACCTCCTGAAATGGTGGAATGTCGACTGGTTCTGTTTGGGTGCAGTGACTCTCTATTCTTTGCATCTTCTTTTGATGCTTCCTGCATCATTCGATGTTTTCCCCTGCAGAGAATCTTTTACTATCGAAACTGGAGGCTTGAATTCGGTCCTCAATTCTTTCCGTTTAAGCTATGTTGAGCATGCTCTTCCCTTTTGGCTTATTAGCCCTAGGTCTTTGCACATCTCACTGCCATATTTGATTTCGTCTTCTGGGGCTGACCTTTGAAACTTTTCAGTGAGCTTCTTGGACTACATCGATTCTTCCATTTGCTTTCGTTACTCCACAGTGAAGAGCAAGTGTCAGAGTTTCTTCTGACATCCACTTTGAGCTGGTGTTTTGAACTTTGGACCTTACAGTCGGCAGCCCAACACGTAATCACTGCACCACCGAGGCTCATTAGGTTATATTAATCTTATTGTATTCCTTCATAACCGAAGCCAATTAACTGCAAGTTATGTTTTTAGTGCAAACTAATTATTCTCAAACACTTTCAGTATTTGTCATTGAATCCTTAATTACTGTGACCATAATTCACTTTTTACCATCTAGAAATTAGTAGTGTTAATCTATGTATCATAGGTAAGCCTGGTAGAATTGCTACTTCAAAGCTTTCATAAATGAAAGAAAACTATCTTATATACTTTATAATATTTACAATATAGTATCCTGGAACCAAACACACTACTGGGAAACTTGTTCTACCTTGAACACCATGGGGCTATAGCTCACAAGCATCAGTTCAGAAGGACCTTAATTGACCTTAAGGAGCCCTGGTAGCACAGTGGTTTAGTGTTCGGTTGCCAATCAGAAGGTCAGCAGTTTTACTGTGCCTCACAGGTCACTCACTCTGTGTCAGACCCAACTTACTGGCAGTGAGCTTATGGGTCCTTCATTTCTCTCCGCACGCCGTGCATCTGATGCCATCGAGTCGTCTCCGGCTCCTGGCAACGCAAGGTATCAGAGAAAAGAGCGTGCCATCCTCCCCATCACTGGCGAGTGCCTTCCAATCGCAGGCTTTCATTTTTTAGGATTTTATCAGGCCTATTCTGCTGTAATACAGCATTTTCATTGACTGATCATCAGAAGTATATTTCCCGATCACTTTCCTGCTAATCTGTGTTAGTCTGGACGCTTGGCTAGAACTAGTCCATCTTGGGAGACCCTACTGGTATTTTCAAATACCTGTGGCATAGCTTCCAAGAACACCACAGTAGGAGGGCCGACAGGCTCGGCGTGTGGAACCCCATTGACTAAGGTGATGACTTCCAAGGATAACTAGGAGGGCTCTCTCTCTCTTATTCTTGGGAGGTTGTCATTCTTAGTTTCCGTCCTCATCTGAAGAAATGTGTTCATTTTGTTCTGACACGGAAGTGTTATGTCACAGTTTGACCCTTCCCCCTCATTATGTTCATTTTTCCTTAACAGGCGTGCCAAGGATGCCACAATGCCATTGACCCCGAGGTGCAGCGGGTGACCTACAACAACTTCAGCTGGCATGCCTCCACTGAGTGCTTCCTGTGCTCCTGCTGCAGCAAGTGTCTCATCGGGCAGAAGTTCATGCCCGTGGAAGGGATGGTGTTCTGCTCTGTGGAGTGTAAGAAGATGATGTCTTAAGAGAGCACCATGCCGTCTCAGCCATAGTTATGTTAACCCATGCCGCCTGCTTCTTCTGTCTACTAGAAAATGCAATTTGAGAAAATAAAAGGAAAAGGGTGTGGGAAAGAAACCCTAAAAGAAATCAGATTTTTCTCAGTGTCCTTTGCAGTTTTTCTCTTATCAATTTTTTTGTCTAAAATTTTGGAACCTTTTAAATGCTCTAAGCATTTGATTAAAAACAAAGGCAGAGAATTTTATTTTTTCTTTAGCTTTCCAGTTGTGAGCTTTTTGGATAGAAGGTCAATTTTTAATGACCTAATCTCCATATCCCCATCACCCATGTGCCAAAGGCAGTCCACAAGAAGTACCTAAGCGCTCGTGCAATGAGTGGGAAGATGAGCCTGTTTTGTTCTGTGTGCTTTTTCCCTTCGTGTGTAAAGTGAAACGGAAATTAAACTTGCCTTCACACCGGAGCTCCACCTTCATTGCCTCCTCGTCTCCACTGAGCTCCTTGTCGGCCCAGTGAATGCCTGTCGATGGTGAGAATGGAAACTGGAGTTTGCAGAGCGCAGCTCATTTCGTGCCTGTGCAGCCACTAGTTCCCAGTTTGGGCAGCGGATCCGTTCTTTATTGCATTTCTCTGGTAAGATTATTTTTCCCTGCCTCTCAGTATTCCTTTTCCAAGCTGGCAACCTCCATCTGTGGCCTTGACTCTCTTATTACCACGAGACACAACAGAAGCCCCCTTTTTACTCTTGAGATGATTTGGGTTTGGGCATAAAAGCCCGGTCACTCTTGTACACTGTTTGCAATCCAAAGAGCATGTGCACTTTTGTACTTGGATTTAGTCTCCTTCCTGCCACGATTCCAGTTGTGTATTCTGCATGTTTTGTATTTTCATAGATACTGCCCTCGCCTATGCATGTGTATATTGAAGACTAATTAAAATCAAATCTTCACCTGCATACTTCTATACCGAAGCATTTCTAACGCCTATTCCCAGCTCCCTGTATACTTCCTTACATTGCTATGCATTATGAAATTCAAATGGAATGAATGTTACTTATGTTGTTCAAAATAAAAGTCTTTCACTCTAATACTCTTTTTTCAATTATTTTTCATTTGAGAGAGATCCTTCTGCTATTAATCATATATTCCAGCAGGGGGCGGTGCTGTCAAGGATAACAACAATCCTAGCAACAAAAAAAAAAAAAAGGCTGCTGCTGTTGGGATTGAACAGAACCCGACCTTTAGAAAGGAGGAGGGACAAGTTCATGAAACCGTAAAATAAAGATCTTAGGTCAGTCTGCTTTTATACCATGCACACATTTCTCTCTCTCTCTCTCACACACGCGCACACACGCAGGCATTTAATTGAATTTGGAGAAAGCTTTAATTTTTCTTCAAGCAAATCTAACGTGTATTACTCTTACACTTGAATTGCAACTACAAAAGAATTTGTAACAAAGAAAGCAAACTCAGAATAGTAGTGTGGTTCTTCTTAATAAACTATGGGTTTTTAGTTTTGTTTTTTTCCCTTAGTCTGAAGTATTTCTGTCATAATGAGAATAGCGGTTTCCTTTGACACATGTCCAGAATGACTTTTTTTTTAGCTCACTTTGGCTAAAGTGCATCTCCCTCAATTCTGTCCGCACGCACAGACAGACACACACACACTTAGTCCTTTGTCTCTATTTTCCAGTCACAAAGTATGTTAGGGAACTTAAGCAAGTGTTGCCTCGTCTAAGCACGTTGGCTAAAGTGGACTATGAGTTAAATGCTAATAATATCCCGAAGGGAGTTTAGATGGCACTGTGATTGAGGACTCAAAAGAGCAAAGACATACCATTCTTGTGCAAAGGTTGGTCTAAGGAACCGGGTCGGACAGTTCTCCGCCCTGTAGGGACTCTGAATCAGAATCTACTCAATAGCAAGCCAGTGTGATCCCCTCCACACTACCGTTGTCGTCTATAAAGGAATCACGCGGGGCTTGTCCATCTTTACCCTTACCTCAACATATTTTTCACAGAGTGAAAGTCATGTCCCCCAGACATGACTTCCTCTCATCTTGAAGACTTGTTTTTCTTTCTACCTTGCATCTCCTTTCCCCACCTCCCAGGATTCGCCATAAGAAGGATGACGTTTTATAAAATTCTAGATCTCTTGAACCAGTTCCAAGGAGGAATAAAATAAAACAGAACTATGCCCCCCCCCCAAAATCTCACCAAACCCCACACACTAACAATCACTTTTTAGCCTCCACTTTTCCAAGGCCAAAGTAAATTGGGTTGGGGGAGGTAGCAGTTAATGTGCTTGGTTGCTAGCTGAAAGGTTCAACTCCACCTAGAAGTGCCCAGGAACAAAGATCTGGCAATCTGCGTCTGAAAGACCAACCATTGAAAACCCGTGAAGCTCAGTTCTACTCTCGACATACTTGGGGCCGCCATGAACCTGAAAAGGCTCAATAGCAACTTGTTAGCAAGTCAACCAATTAGACCAACCGCATCCTTCTTTCAGGACGCTAATCACACTTACGCTGTTAGGCCATTTCCTGGAACAAACTGCCGTGCTAAGAGTTTCAGAACCACTAGGTTTGATTACATGGATGTATTTGCAGATCTTCCCTTTTAATCCAAGAGAATTTCTACATTAGAGAACTTCTCAAGATCTGCCACTTTTATTGTTAATCATGGATTTTAAAAATCTGATCTTCCAAATATGCTGTGCTATAATTGTGTAATGAGAGTGAGATGGTTCTCAGAATCTGTAGGATTTATTTTTCTAGCATGTAGTGTATGCTCGCTCTTCTCCCATAATTTCGTATATACCATTGTCCTCAATTCTAAATAGGGTCTGTTGGTTAGAGAGGCCTTTATGGATTGAACTGTGCCCCCTCTCAAAAAGTTACACACACACACACACACACACACACACACACACACACAAGTTCTCCCCCATATGTGTGGTCATTATAGTCCTGTCTGGGAATAAGATGTTTTCTATGATTAATGAGGTCATATTAGCATTGGGTGTGTCTCAAGCCAGGTACTATTGAGATATAAAAGGACAAGGCTAGGTGCAGAAGCAAGGATGAACAGGGAAGGCAGTTGCCACTTGATGGATGTAAAGGAGTCCAGGACCAGAAGCTGAAAGACAATGATCTTTTCCCAGAGCTGAC